TCAGTTGTTTAGATTAGTAATTTTAATGGAAAGAAGGGAGATGGAGCCCCCTCCGCTCCTCTTTTTCAATCTCTCAAATTTAAAGGGATTAAGATGAATTATATTATTTAACTTATTTTTATTTTTAATTTTTTAAAAAATAAATATAAATAAATATTTTATTTTAACTATTTATTTAATTAATAAATTTTAAAAATTTTATTCTTCTTTATTTTATTTCTTTATTAAATTATTTAATTAAATAAAAATATTATCATTTCTCCTCCTTCACTTTATCCATCCAAACGAAATTACTATTAACCTTTTCCTTCCCTTCACTTCTACTCCCTTTCCTTCCCTTCTACTCCCTTTCCTTCCCCTCTACTCCCCTTCCTTTTCTTTATTAATTTTTATTCAAACGTACGCTTAAAGAGAAGTTTGAAGGGAGTGCTAGAAATAAGAGTGTGACATTGTTAGTTGTCAAACGAGAGGATGAATTGTTGAAGATAAAGGAAATTGATACAATACATCAATATTAAAGTTCCTCATCCTCCGATCATTCCCCCTGCATCAGTTAATTTAAATCTACCAAAACATTGTTAACTATTGATAAAGAAGATCTATAGTCAATATCATTCAACACATTTATGAAGCCATCTCTAACTACTGTACATGTATTGATAAATGAACCTTCCTTTTTTCGAATAAATTGCCTACTAGTGTATAATACGAGATAAAATTTGAAAAGATCAATTCAATTATCCATATTCTCAAATTCAAATATGTGATATTTAAGGATCCTGAGAGGCTACCCAAAAATACTTGAGAATACATTTGAGCATAATTGATTCTAGGACACTTAGATAACCTTGGATCCAACTCGAAGGAAATCCAACAGTTTAATCAGAAGATTATGTGCTTTTGGCTATTAATTAGAGCCAGAACTCTAGATATTAATATAAGCAATCTGGATGACAAACAATTAGCTGCTAACTAGTGGGATTGACAAGTTTTTTTATGATGGAAAGTTCAAAACTAATTCCAAGACATCTTCTAGTAAAATAACTATTATCTCATATTAAAATATTATTATTATTATTATTATCTTTTGGTGTTCTTCGAAGTAACTGCAGCAAGGCAACTTTGAACAAGTCAAATGTACAATTTTTACTAAATTCTCTTAAGAAGAAAATATCAAGTTCAAACCCACCCAAACCCC